ACATGATTGCTTTAATTAAACGAAAAATATTTCTAGCACACTTTAACCACTTTTGATATGAATAATTTTTTGCACTCTATTAAATTTTCCAGTCTAGCTCAGACATCTTGACTATTATGATGTGATTTATTAAAAATATAATTTGTATGCTTTATAGTTATTTAATTTATGATATTATTATAATAAATGAAAGATGTTTGTAATGCTAATATGTATGTTTACCAATACCTTTTATTTTCTTTGTTAGCTCTCGCATTTATTACTGTTATTCAAGTAATTAGCCTGCTTGTTAGATAGTTTTTTACTTGTCTTGTGATATGTAATTCTATTTATTTATTTTATTTTCCTCTTGGCTACAATTGGCTTCAAAAAGTTAAATTGTAACCCTGTAGGCAGCAGGGGGAAGAAATTCTGATCGGCGCAGTTGGACTACAGCAGGACCCAGGGGATATTTTCATTAGCGCAGTTGGAGTACACCCGGAAATTTATTACGTTTGATCGCTTCTATTTTATTTTCTTCAGTTAAAGTTTTCAGCTGAAGTTCTGCTAATTCAGAAGCTTTACACATTTTAATACATTTCTCCAATGTTAATTGAACTTCCCTTAATAATCTATCTTTGAGTTTTTATTTAGAATTCCACTTACTATTCTATCTCTTATTAAACTATCTTTTAATTCTGCAAATCCACAGTTGCTACTTAATTTCTCTAAATAAAAATATATGCTTATCAACACTTTTGGTATGCAAAAATTTTCGAAAGCTTCAATTACTTAGTCAACATCCTTCTTATCTTCTTCACTTAAATTAAAGTATTAAACTTTACAAGTGCTTCTTCACCAATAATATGCAATAAAATAGCTACTTTAATTTCAGGTGATTTAGTAATACCACCAGACGCTAACATATGAATTTGGAATTTTTGTTTCCATTTCTTCCAATTTTCACTTAAATTACCTTCAAAATTTAGATTACTTGGTGGCTTTAATCCATCCATATTTAATTTAGGACTTTTATATACAGTCAAAAGTCGTTAATCCGGACTCGTCGGGACTTCGGCGATTCCGGATTATCGATTTTTCCGGATTATAGATCATCAGTTTAAATCTGGTAAAATGGCATGCAGAAATTATAAAATTAAAAATATGAAACCGTAATTTACGAAATAAAGAACAATTATGATTTAAAGGGTATCAAAATTTACAAAAAAAAAAAAAAAAAGCTTAATATTTATTTGTTTACTTTATTAAACATTCTTTCAATGTAAGTTGTTTAAGTTGCTTCGTTTTTTATGTTATAATACATTCTCTTTAATTCTATAAACAGACATAATTTCTTGTTCAGTTACAAAGTTCCGCTGTTCAAGTCCTATAATTGCTGTGTCGAGAATACCGACTAATTTGTCAATCGAAATTTTTTCGTTTTCAATAACCTCTGTCACTTTCTTCGCTATCGGAAGCGAATTATAATGACGAGGCATTTGATTTAAATCATATCAAAGACGAGATGAAATACTACATTGAGTAAGAATTATAAGCCAAATAAAATAAAAAAAAACATCTGCCCTGAAGATAAGGATAGTGCTGACAGATCAACTTCCAATTCAATGCACGCCGCCGCAGCGTTAAAGATAAACAAAGTTTTTAGATAAACTTTATCCATTTTTTGCAGCAATTCCACTTTTTTGTTTTAATGGAACTTCGAAAGATACTTTCGCTTTGTAGATCCTTTACATATTAGTAAACATATATCGGAAATTCTATTTGACATAATCGAAAGTTCAAGCTTACTTTTATAAAATTGCTCTAACAGTCTGCAAAAAATAATAAGCCGGATCCAATTCGAAGATTAAGGAACAACGCAATCTGCAAACATTAACTGAAATAGATAATTAGATAATTTTAGCTTAGCTTATCCGTCCGTTATACATTAAACGCGCATTTCGTAAACGTATTTTTGCACACGCGCACACGCAAATTCGCAGCGTAAAGGTCTTACGCGCATGCGTCAACGCGACGCATGCGCAGAAAAGTTTGTAGCTTTGAGGTCCGGATTATAGATCATTCCGGATTATGGGTGTCCGAATTAACGACTTTTGACTGTATACGTTTTTATATACGTATTTTTAGCCACTTCAAATAAAAATAAACAACGCACTTACCAGCGATAGAAGTTTCAATTTCACTGTAAACAACTTCCCATCATGTTTTTGTTTAGAATATCTTTACGGACCCTGCATGGTTCTTCAAAAAAGATTTTCTTTTTTAATCTATGGCGGACTCGACTGCGTCATGCATTGTTTTTTTATATATGTTGGGTATGTGCTCAGTGATGATTTCAAGATGCACAGAAACATCGTTTATTCTACATTGCTTATCTACTATTCTATATTACAGTTATGATTAAAGGTAATAATACAAACAGTTACAGTTACATATATAACAACTACGTGTGTTTGTGACTAGAAGGTCTAGGTTGACTGAAAAAAAAAAGACCATGAAAATTTTATTTATCCAATGTTATTTCCGAATAATCATAAAAATGTGGAAAAATTGATAACTGATAAACATCTATCTATGTCTCATGCAGGAATTCACGTACTGATGTCAACATTTAGAGAGACGTTTCGGATACTGAAAAGCACAGCTATGACTCCAAAAGCCTTATATGCATGAGTCAGGTGTAGGAGACATGGAAATAAACAACTACAGACTGTACCTGCTACTCTACCAGAAAACAGACTTAGAGATGTTCGTGTTTTTGAGATTGTTGGGGTTGATTTAGCTGGTCCATTAATTTTGAAGGATAAAGGCAGAGCTTGGATTTTACTTTTCACCTGCGCTGTTTTTAGGGCAGTTAATTTAGAACTGATTTTGTACCTTTCAACTCAAGGATTTTTACTTGGCCTTAGAAGATTTATTGATCGTAGAGGGAGGCCATCGATAATTTATAGCGGCAACAAGAGAAGTAATTTTGTTGGATCCAGTAATCTCTTGAAATCAATTAATTGGGATACCATCGTGATAGAAGATGCCACAAACAAGATCGACTGGAAGTTCAGTGAGACTTGTTCAAATGATTAAGAAGCTTTTGCGTCAAGTTCTAGGCCAGTTGTGTCTGAATTATGAAGAATTGATGAGTGTGCTATGTGACTGCAAAGCAACTGTGAATGGCAGACCCCTCACTTATGTATCAGAGGACTCTGATGATCTCATCCCTTTGATACCGTCCTTATTTTTAGGTGGAATTCTAGTGTTTGTAGTTCCTGACTTGAATCACATTGACAAAGTTGATTTCAACAAGTTACTGAGACATCTACAGAATTTCCGCGTGTTCTTGAGAAACAGATTTAGAAGCGAATATCTTGGCTTGCTAGTGCAACGTGCCGATTTCTCAACAGATAAAAATCGGGAATATAGTTCTCATCGAGTGTGATTACAAACGCAAGGTGCTGTGGCCTCTAGCAAAAGTCATTGTGGTATATCCAGGAAAAGACGGCAACCTTCGAGTTGTTCGTGTCAAAACCATGTCTGGAGAATTAGTTTGAACAATCTAGAGAATATTCCTTCTCAAAATACCGTCATCTTCAGAGTCAGATAAGGCAAATGAAATTGAGATGCAGGGTGAAGACAGTTTAGTTTCAAAATTACCAAAGAATAATTTATCTCCAGATTTATCAATGTACATTGACTGTTGTGACTAGAAGTGGATGACAAATTAAAATTCCATCTAGATTTCTAACCTGAACACTACTCGAGTCATTTTAGTGTAGAAATTTAAGAACTCAGTTTGCTTTTTTTAATTTTTTAACCTTGATATTTGTGTGGACAGTATTTTTTATATTTTATTTTGATTGATTAAGTATATGTCATCAATCAAAAGGTGGGAGTATTGTTAGACCCAAGCCTCAGTTGTTACCTTTCTTTTATAGTTTGACAATGTAAGAGTGGCATCCATCTGATCTTTGTTGTAGTTTGTCGTTCTTCTACGGATTTTGAAATAAAATATGATGCTTTGGAATATTAGATGTAAAACTGTTTTATTTTAAGTTTATTAGAAGAAAGGAGAATGGTTCTTGCAAATCTCGAACTCTGAGTCATTTATAACAGTTTAATGGTATATATGAGCTACTTTCAGCAGCTTACTATGGTAGCATGCTTTAAATTGTTGCTTGTCTATGCATTGTATTTAACAACTGTATTTCTTTTAAGCTGCAATATGTTAATAACAAAATTAACATTTGCAGTAATTGTGAGTAATGCCTTGAAAAACAAAGATAAAATTCGGCATATATAAATACAAACATGAGCAATATAAGAAACATGATTGAAACAGTACCAACCAAGCATTACTTCAATGCTTTATTTTTCAGAGGACTTTACAAGTTCCTCTCAATCGGCCTGTGCTGAAGACCAAAAGTTAGGAAAGAAATTAGACAAGAAAAAAAGATTTCTCATGTTCAGAATGGTGGCTCGGCGATCAAAGAAAAGGCATAACATTACAGTTGTGAGTATTAGAGGGGAAGCAATGGCAGTGAATCAAGAAATAACATCATGACAGTTCAATGTGGAACGGCAAAGGATTTGTACCAGCTATTATTCTTATGATATCATCAGTAGCGATGACAGCAGACTATTTTATCAACTAACACTGAACAAAACATTGGAGTTTAAACAGAAAAAGTGCATTGGTGATAAAAAGTCGAAAACCTGAGCCATGCTGTGAATATGTTCTAAATTACCAGGATCAGAGAACAGGAACTGGTAGTAATGGAAAACTTCAAGAACTCCAGATATTTTAAAAACCTCGAATGAAATGTCTTATATTAGAGCCTGCAGGTTTTATTAGACACTCAAGATCTGGTATATTCCTTTAAAACACAAGCAATTGTATAAGTAATTACTGATTAATGTTGGATTACATATTAGGTACATTTTAAAAGTTCTTAAAATGCAATATGACAATAATTACAAACAGGTCAATACCGTGCACTTTCACTTACGATCACGGGTAAAATATGTGACATTTGGCCAGTTAGTTCAAAAACAATAACTGATGTAGATACAGTGTGAGTAGCACTCCCAGATAATGCAGCAGCCCCTGAAAATTGAAATGAAATATCATGTAATAATAACTAACGCATTTGTTGAATATTAAAACAGTATTATGATGTACAATTATAAGGTTAATTTCATATTAATTGGGAATCACAAACAATAACTTAAATAGCTAAGTCATTCTGAAGAAAAATTCTAAGGCAGCATTCTTATGAACTGTAGTAATTGAAATTGATTTTAGAACCACAAAATATTACTCGGAATATTTTACACTATACATTAATAATATGTATTTTCAATGTCAATCAATATTCTCTAAAATACAGAAACAGTTCAAATGCTGAATTTACCAACAACAGCATAACCTCCTGGCAATATCTTGAATATATTATCACCCATTCTTATCCCTTCAGGAAACCATGCTGCCATACACTCCCCTACTAAACGTCCGAAGGCAGCACCTACAAAGGCATAAAAATGGAGCTTAAAGAAGGCACACACAAAAAATTCTAATAAAAAGTATTGAAAGATATATGTTCTAGGATTGAATTTGTTTTATTATTTCAAGCAGAATTAAAATTATATTGAAACATTGCAATTAACATTATAATTATATTAAAATATTATAATGTAAAACATGCAATACAGCTATATCAAATGATGAATGGAATAAAAAACAAAATAATGCACACTAAAATGTTAAGAAGTCCATAAAAATAAAATAAATAAATAAATACAGTGTGTAAAAACGATGTAACACATACGTAACAGGTACTTGCCTTAATATTTCAATTTTTGCATTAGTTATAACTCAAAACACAATTCTCTTTCACTAATAAAGTTTTAATGCTGCTTTTTATAATAAGTGAAAAACAGCTTTTCTTTATACCCTGAAAACTTTGAGTTACTATATTTCAAGTATATAAATTCTATTGCTTCCAGTAAATTCTTAAAAAAAAACCTTTTATTAAAAGAAAAAAGAATTTTTCGATAGACCTTACCAATACGAAAAATAGGAATAAAAACACCAGCAGGTACTGGCAGAGTTGCACAAACAGTTGTTGTAACAAACTAAAAATAAAAATTGTAATTAAATACAGTATTAACAATACACAAAATGATTAATATGAAATCCAATGTTAAAGCTTCAAAACAACAGACTTACATTCATAATAATGAATACAGCAAGGTTGACATATATATTTGTGTAAGGTGTAGTCCAGTGACTAACGGTTATTGCATCATCTACTGCAAGATGTGAACCAGACCATGTGACATTACTAAACAACTCATTCATGACTTCATGATTGGTGAGCTAATAAAGGATGAATGATATGAAGTACATAATAAACTTATTTAGTATAATTATCAATATGCAATGAGTAAAGAATATTTAAGTTAAATCTTAAATAAAAAAATCAAAACTAGTGTCAACATTTTTCTTTTTAACCACTCAAGAACGCGAATTCTCTTAAATAAGAAGTAATACAGGTAAACAAATCTTATATACAGAAAAGGAAAGAAAATGTAATCAGCAGAAACTCACCTTATAAAATTATTAAGCAACATTAGAATTTCTCGCATAAGATGTTAACTGCCAAGCTGTGTGCACAGCAGAAAGCCATCCTTCAACCACAGCTCAGAGCAATGTTCAATGACATAAAATTTTACAGGATTAATAAGCTTTATGTAGATGTTCGCACCTATAAGAAGAAATACAATTAAAAACCTCAAAATTTTGTGTCAACAACAATACTCTGAGCCAGATTAGAAGTGTGAAAATCTGCTAAACACATCAGCAGAATCAAATGCTAACATCAAATTACAGAAATCATTATATTAAAACATATATAAGACTGCTGATTACAAAGAAATAAGAGTTATATTTTAAAACTCTTTAGAATATATAAAATTTGAAGTTATACATTATACATATAAGAAAAATGGAATAATTCTAATTAATTAGTTGTGTTTTATCATATCTTTCCTCATATACACATAGACAGAGAGCAGCCCTAATGAATAAACAATATACTTTCATACACGTGTATCTAAGTGGAATGGATCAAAATTTGTAAAGTGCAGTTCTTCAAAAATTTCAAGTATGTTTCTGAACTTTTAGCTGATATTTATATTAATAACTGGTGCACAACATGTAACATATTTAAACAAAATAAAACCTAGCATCTTACAGGGGCAATTTGAAATTCGATTACTGAAATTTTGAGTTTGCTCAATTCTGAGGTTGGACAACTGCATAATTCATGTGAAGAAAAAATTTAACAAAACCTATGCATTGTGAAGAAAGGAATCAATAAGTGACAATTTGTTTCCCCCCTCTCCAAAAAAAATTAATTTTTACATTAGATAAATGCGTCTTGCATTTAAAAAGGCCTTATGCAGTTTTAAAGTAAAATGCATTATTCCCCCATTTTTCATTAAACCATTAGTCATACATAGCTGGCAAAAATAGAGTAAAATACACCCCAAGAAAACGGAGGCATAAATTGAGAAAGAAACCGGGAAAAGGCAAAAGAGGATATGAAATAATTAGGAAATATACAAAAAAAAAATTATCTAAAAAGAGAATGCAAGTGATGATTAAAGCAAAATGTCAAAATTATAAACAGTATGAAGAAGCTGCCAAAATAGATGGCATGTTATAAAAATTTAGAGAAATTAACTTAAAATTTTTACTTTCAATATCACTTGAACAGTGTCATAAATTCGAAAATTATAAAAGAATATTAATTTGTGATGTGACAAATAAGTTTTTAAAACTGGCTTATTTTATGCTTTAATATTTTTTCCCCCAAAATACAGAAAATACAGCATTCAATAATTCCTTAGTTCCCAACTTCTCCCCCTTCAGTTCATAACATCGCATTATAGGCAACTGGCAACCTAGTCCATAAAATCGTAATTTATAAACTAATTGCTGGTGCTTAAATCTTCATGTCGTAATTGTAAATATATATCTCAAAACATTTCTGGAAACCCTTCCTAAAGATCTATCCGAAAACGGGGAGGGAGGTAAATGAATTTATCTGTAATCTACACAGGTTCTAAAAGTGACTATAACCTTTATCTCTTTAAACACTGATCCTAGATATGTACTCCTAATTAAAAAAATTCACAAAGTATGGCAGAGAATTTTATGAAAACTATACATGTACAACATTCAATTTACTAAAAGTCTTGTGATACCTCATTAACATACCAACAGTGCAACTTTACCAAAAAAACAATTGTAAAGATTTTAATCGCTCCACTGTTCAAATTGCACACTTACAGCTATGTTTAAAAAAAAAAAAAAGAAATACCTTTTATGTTTTGCTGATAAATTTAAGAATAACGACTTAAGTTGTTTTTTTTTTTTTTTTTTTTTTTTTTTTTTTAATTTACGGTTAATAATACATATTGTTTAGATCCTAGTCATATGATTTATTCATTTTGCACGTATCATCACCGATTTTTCAGTTACTTTTGGGTCATAACGTTTCTCTCTGAACCATCCCCAAAAGGCATAGGGGCGCAACAGACAGTTTTGTTATTGAAAACAAAAAGGTTATTTTATTACGAAAATACTAACTTCTTTATTAACAGTTAGTTGCTATACCTTAGATTTTAAAGAGTACACTAATTCTTGTGTGGCTGACATTTTCTTTTGACTTGTGGAATAGAATGCTATGTTTTCCAAATATAATTCCACAGTTCTCCAAACTTCCTATTGGGTGTTGGTATTTTATCTTTTAGTTGATGCCATATATCCTCAATTGGTTTTGGATCAGGTGACTGAGAAGGATATGACAGTACATCAATCCTCTTTCGTTCGAAACAGTTTTTGTCAGGTTTCTTCAATGCTTTGGTTCAGTATATTGTCGATAGTGCCACTTCAGTAGCATGTTGTCTTTTGCCCATGGTAACACTGTGTTCTCTACATACACCTCTTTGGTCATGATACCATGTATTAAAAAAACGCCATACCCGTGAAAGCAATCTCACAGCAAGACTGTCCTCTCTATCTTTTAACGATTCTCCTTGGCAGTTTTTTTAATTGATATTCTATAGCTGTCAAAATAGTTTGCAATTCCACGATATTGCAATGTTTTCCCTCTACCCATTTTTTTCTCTTATGTAACTCAAGAAACAAAAGTGATTTCAAAATGAACAATCATTTACTAATTTAGATTTTCAGAATGACTAAACCATTTACTTTTTTAGAAAACGGGTAAAAGTGATAGCTCATCAAAGCGTTCCTGTATTTTTGTCCAGTGCATTCTTGGAACAGTCTAGAGAAAAACATTACGATACGAAAACATCCCAGTAATCCAGAAGAATAAAATTATATCTCTAAGGGCGCAGCAATACGCATTAGCCATAAATTTAAAATGTTAAACAGATATTCTTCGTAAGACTTAAAAAAAAGTAAAGCTATTTCTATATTTTTGGTCATTTTAGTACATTCGTACATCCATTAAAAAAGTATTTTAGATATAATTTTTTACTTCCCAATGTAAATTATTTAGTCTACAACGTCTCGATATACATTTATCATTTACATAGAGTAAATGCATGTATCACCATACCTGGTGAAGTATTGGGGGGGGGCGGTGTTGTATGCAGGTGTCAAGCCAGAATGTTAAATAATCATAGAGCCACTTGAAGCATACTTGGCTTCAAATAGGTATCCATGACACCTTTGTCATTTAAAAATTGTTATAACGATACAGACAACAAAATAGGCAAATAAGGGCAATAAAGAGAATATACCTGAATGAGTTGCACACGTATATAGGAATAAACACATCACGGGTTTATATAACGATTTATCATTAACATAGAAAACAGGCATTTATAAACAGAGCCGTAGCTAGGATTTTCAGCGCCAGGGGACAACTGAAAATTTCGCGCTGCCTCCTGTTTGCCAAGATCGGAAAACATTTCATTCTAAAATTTTGTAAAATAATTTGGCGTCCCCTGGATGCTGCGACCGTGGACAGATGTCCCTCCTCGCTTCCCTGCTAGCTACGCCACTGTAGTGAAAACTACATAATTAAAAGCACATTCAAGCTTGGAAAGTTATATTGTCCGTTTTTCAATTTTCAATAAATATATGTTTTGACATTTTAAACATACCTCAGCCGCCATAAACTGTCCTAAGCCCAAAGGAAATGTAAGACTAGAAATGACTATAGTAATGATCGCAGGATACATAAAACGGCTGAGAAAAGAAAGAAAAAAAATTATCATTTTTTATTACTATGACATGGTTTAAAAACACTTAATTCTTCACATAGCATTTAACGCAAAAATCAAAACTCACACAGTGATAAAAAAAATAAGCACTCTTATATGCAAAATAGTTTAAGTACTACAATAAACCCAGTTTAAGACATCAGATGCAGTCTTCACGTTACTAAACGTGCCGAAATAATTTCTCACACTTCTCCAACGGAGTATGACCCGATCGGGAATTGTATGCGGAGATTTCGACAGAGCTGATTGGCTTCAAACGTTATCAAAATGATCCAAATGAGAAAAACGAAAAATAAACAAGAGGTGAATGGGATCACAATCGCCCTCAGGAAGTATCAAGGATGACTCTCTCTCCTAACATTTCTTGATGCCTTCAAAATGTGCCTAATGTATACTGTATCGTATTTTCCGGCGTATAACGCGCTTCTGTAATTTCGAGCTATATTTTTTTAATTTTTAGAATTAAAAAGCTAGGTAGTAATTACTATATAAAAAAGACCTATTTGGTCTAAAATTTTTTTGCGCAATATGCTACAAAATTAAGGAAATGAGAAGAAGATAAAAAATACTGTGTTGAACTTTTTCTTGGAGCCACAGCTCCTGATAACTTTTTGGCGAGCTAACTACAATTTATCTTCTTCTCATTTTTAATTTTTAGGTATATTCGCCATATAACGTTTCTTTTAGTAGTAAATATGGCTCCTGTCAAACGAAACAATGCAGTGCTGGTTTCAATTGCAAAGTCATTCAGTTTGTGAAAGAAATTATAAATCGTGCTGCAGCAAAGATGTTTGGTGTTGGTGAAAGATGGAACGAATGATGATTATTTATTTTTGGATCAAAGTAACAGTGGTGGTGACGATGAAACAGAAGTCGATGATGTGCCTGAAGATAAAACGGAAGACGAACATAATGAACTTTTCAAGTTATCCGATAACGAAAAGTTTTTAAGTTCAAAAGGTATGCCATTTCTTTTAAATAAACAGCATAAGTACACGTAAAAGTGTAACTTTTGTACGCTAGTTTTTTCCATTTTTAATCTATCGTTTTTCTTATATCTGGCGTATAACGTGCACCCGTTAATTTCGATCATATTTTTAGTGTTAAAAGTACGCGTTATATGCCGGAATATATGGTAATTAAAATATACATTATGTCTATAAAAGTCCTTAGCCGGGCTTCATTTTCGCAACCGCTCTTCGTAGATAACATGTAAATATTTGTAAATAATAGGGGGACCGGAAAGTAATGTCGCTTTTTTACATTAAATTCAAACGAATAAATTTGTACTAAGTTTTTATTTTTAATCAGTAATATAATCACCCTCGTTATCAGCAACCTTTTGCCATCTAGTATGCAGATTTCAATCCCAGATCAATAAAAATCAATTGGTTTTTTGAGTAAAATATCTCAAGATGGCATTTTGGACATCATCCAAATTTTGAAATTTTTTGTCACTAAGAAAATGTTGTAGGGATCGGAATAAATGGAAATCCGAGGGTGCGATATCGGGCGAATAATGGTGGGTGAGGCAGTGCCTCTCACCCCAATTCATTATATTTTTCCAGTTTAAGACATCAGACATTTCCAGTTCGTCTTGCACAGTGCGGTCTTGCATTGTCGTGTTGCAGAATGACGCCTTTTCCGTTGAGAATCGCCGGATATGTTTCGATTAAAGATTGGTTCACTAGATCCAATTGTTCACAACAAAGGCCTACATTAACAGTTTTTCCAGGTTTTAACAATTCAAAATGAACAATTCAGGGAATACTCCACCAACCCAGAAGCGCCTTTTCGGGATGTAAATCCTTTTAACTCCTATTAAAACTGCTTTTTGAGTTTTAGATTATCATATAGGACTTTTTTTTTTTTTTGGTTTCCACTAATCAAACGATTAAAAAGCGGTTCTGTATGGTGCCGTTGAAGCAATACGTTGTATGTGATAGACAGGTTGGCTTTGTTCTTTTCGGACAGATTATGGGAGACTTAAACACCTGCCTTGCTTATTTTTCCATTCTGCTTTAAATGTTCTTGGATGGTCGACTAAGGTTGGTTAAGAGTGTTTGACATGGATTTGCTTCCACTTCTGCCTTTAGCATGTTGTTGTCGACATGCACAGAAACGTCATTACTTTCCGATCCCCCTATTAGTTAAAGCCTTTCTGGTTGCACTTTTGTTTTTCTGTATTGTTGTAGGGTTGTGTATTGGTTAACTTATTTATTTAATTACTGCTTTTAAGATGATAATGTTAGTTTTTTGTTTTGTTTTTTGTGTTTAATCCAATTTGTGGCCACATGTATTAAGAGCTTATTTCTTACACAGAATTGTAGATCCTTCGGTTCAGGGCGCAACAATCTTTAAACTGAAAAAGAAAAAAAAAAAAAAAACTCAAAGAAAACGCAAATTTTTTTCTGACGGTCTAGGTGACAAGTTTTACTGCTAAGTTGGAGACATTCGGCGTTTTCTCGCCAATCTAGCTACTTTTTGCAGATTCGGAAAAACACATTTTCGAACTGATTCTTCAAGACTAGTGCACTTCCTACAACTGATTCCTCATTCAAGAAACCCATGCTACAGCACAGAAATATGGATCCGAGAGCTACGCAGTTCTTAATAAGCTGTGAGATTTCGTGGCTAGATGAATTGCAATTTTCAGTTTACTCAGCGAGTGATCTTGAGAATTTACGCTATTTCTCGTGCACTAAGAAAGAATTGCTTTATATCCCCATTTTACTTGAGCTGTTTCCAGCTATTTATTGTTCTGTGTGTCATGAGTTTTTATAATAAATTGCCAGTCTGCAGAGTTCATTTAAAGAGATATATCATCCAGCCTGTAGCTCGCAACAATATGCTTCCAGATAGAAAAATGTTTTAAATGGCGCAAACATTCATGTTTTGGCATTTTTAGATTTTAAGAATTTAGTAGTTGTGTGAAACGGGGGTTCTAGACCAGGAGGCGGAGCGTGGTCCAATCGCGTGAGAGTAAAATATTATAATTAATCACGGTAAAACTACTACATATTGAAAAATTGCATAACAAGCAAAATAAAATAGACCTATAAAATATAGTCTAAGAAAGATTCGATGAATAACAATTAACAAGCGTAAGGTTAAATTCTTAATTTAAAAATCTCGCAATGTTTAAGAAATTTAAACTGGTGATAAATCATGTAAAATTAAGTGAAGCAGAAAAAAAAAGTGGTATTATAAACAGAAAATATCAGTAAGCAAGTTAAAATTAAGAGCACGTAGGAAACTATAAAGGAAAAGAAATGTCAAAAAAGTGAAAAAAGTTACAACTAAAATTAAATGATATGATAAATATAAAGCGTGTATTTTAAATAATTACGCTCGTAAATTATAACAAATAAATTAAAAACTAGGGTACATTAAAAAGGTTAAAATGTACAAAATAAGTTAAAAATTACATCTAAAATTAAATAATGTAATTAATTAAAACGTATATCTGAATAATTACACTCGTAAAATACAACAAATAAATTAAAATTCAGAATATGTTGAAAATTATAAACGTTAAAAATATGAACGAAGTTAAAAATGATATCTGAATTCGAAGACAAGTGATGCACAAAGTCAGAAAATATACTAAATAAGTTAAAAATTAAAATACGTTGAAAATTACGAATGTTGACAAATATGAAAAAAGTTAAAAATTACATCTGAAATTAAATAAAAGTCATGTATATGATCGGAAAATGTAATAAATAAGCTAAAAATATGTTAAAAATTGAGAAGGTTAAAATGCATGAAATAAATTAAAAATTACATCTAAAATTAAATAAACAATAAAAATTAGTAATGTAATTAAGATTATGGAGAATGTCACCATGAACAGAAGATGTAAGAAATAAATTAAAATTAAGGATATATAGGAAACTATAAGTATGCAGTGTAGGAAATTATGCGGAAATTAAAAATTTACATCTAAAATTAAGGTCGGTCGAATAAGCAATTAAATTCGGAAATAAGAGGTATTAAGGGTATACATAAATTAACCATTACATACGTAGTAAAATAGCCGGAATTTAAAGAAAAATAGAAGTGTCAACGGGTAAAATTTGATTAAAAAAGGAAATTACATCAGAAAACTCAATAAAAGGTAATCTCTTATCAAATTGCAACGTTAAGTCTTGCTCTTTCCACTTATCAGTTGGTTGCGGCTGCACGTCGCCTTTTGGCGTAGAACCCCCCCCCCGTTTCATACTACTATCACTTTTATAAAAAGTATGAAATCTAACTTTTTATATGTCCCTCCGGTTCCTTTATTTACACTTGAGAAAATTATGTTCTCTTTATCAAAAAATTAAACACGAAAAGAGTGATTTCCGTACGACTAAGATTGATCAAGATGTTTTAAAGCCTAAGATCATATTCAGGAGAGTACACAAATTGAAGAGCGAAATGTTTGTAACTACTAAAATAAAATATCAGTGTAAAAAAGCTGACGGGGTTTTTTTACTCAAATACTAACACTGAACGCATCAATCATACTAGAATATAAAATAAATTTTCAGAATGAAAAATAACATACTTTCTTTGCAGGAAGGAATTCATAGTCTTGTGTCGACGGTTGAAATATACTATTTGCCTGTGGAGCCATACAAACAAAGCGCCAGCAAATCCGCAAAATGCTCTAAAAAATTAAAATATTACCTTTACTCTGGATGACAATTTCATACCATGATTGAAAAGTAATCATTATATATGCATAAATATGTAAAACGTAGTTTTTAAATAATTATAATAACTTAAAATACATATAGCTGTATGATGTGCTTAAAATAAAACAGTTAAAATCTGTATATAATTGTTGGTACACAAAATCAAGTAAATTTTCCTTGTGTTTCCTTGATCAGTGTTTTAAATATTTTCTTCATCGCCGCTTTAGTTTATTACTAGTCTGGTTTTTATAAAAAAATGACTTTATTAGCCATAAACATAAACCATGCTTATTTATACTAGCCTCATTTTAAAACAAAAATAATACTTTAACAAATCATTGGTATTTATTAAAATGATTCAGAATTTTCAGCATGATATGGTTTTTTTAAAGGAATTTAAATGGAACTAAGATTGTTATTGGAAAAAATAACAATCGTTTGTTATTGGGAAATGCCATATCTGAAAACAAATTTGCCATAATACAGATTTTGAAACTAGTATAATAAGAATGTAATAACATACGCAGCTTTAAACAGTCAGTTTATTATGAAAGAACGTGCGAGAAGATAACTAAATAACACACACACACACCCCCAAAAAATACAAATCAAATGAAAAATAATTTACCTTTTGGGCTTTCACAAAAGAACTGCAGTAAGACAGATGCATATTTTTATCAAAATTATTCAAATAATCTCACAAACCTTTTCCTTTATTTGTTTATTTTGCTTAATATTTCTTCAGCTACAGTCTTTTCGAGATAAATTTTTAGTTTGTTCGTTACTATGAGACTATATCAGCCTCCACGATTCAAGAAATAATTTTTAAACCCATTTTCAAAGCACCTTTTTTATATTCTTAAAACAAAACTAAATACTTAACAGGTAAATAAAAGGCTGATCATCTTCCCCCCCCCTGAAACTATGAAATCCCTCCCGGTTGAGAACACCTTATTCTGCAATTTCTTCGACACTTTCTTCCATTTGTTCCTTTTTCTTTATAATCTATTTCCAAGCTTGATGAACGAAAATTTTTATCAGTTCCTCTGAACTGTCCAGTATTAATTTACCTGTTAAATGTTTCAACTGAAGAAGAGATATATCCCTTAATTTCATTCTCTTTATCGTTTTTATTAATCTCTATTTTAATAAATCCCGTAACATTTTTGCACACACTTTAAGTTGACGCTTTTAACAATTTCTGATATCAAGCTGTTTCTACAATAATCATGGATTTTACTGATTCTTGGTTGTCCGAACAGGCAGAAATTCCTTTTATGATATGATGCAATATATTTTGTGCATCTTGAATGCTTGAATTATTCCTTGATGGAAGGCTCTATCACACTAGTGAAGTGTTTGGTTGAGGAGGAGATCTACGTTTCATGATTTTCCTTTTAACTGTGTCTACGCTAGATGGCACAGCTGTCTATAATTTTTTTTTTTTTTTTTTACTTTTTACTTTTTAAAATCAAATTCATTCAGTCATTTTAGATTCCATCCAAGGTGACTCGTGGGCTTCCCATTTCACACCAAGTTTACTAGAATTTGTATTCTTAAATCACATTGGTCTTCCCTATAACAAGCGATCTTTCAAAAATTCTTAGCCATACTGCTGCACACAGACTCTTTTTTTTGCCTTACCATGCATCTTCCATAATTTCTAATTTCTCAATGCATTTTTCAGTAATACAGACCGAATTTTCAGTAATAAAGGCATTTTTAATAACACACAATTTTAGTATATTAGACCTGTTTAAAACCATATTTTAAATGTGTTTAGGTCAAAAACATACACACAAGCTCTCAAGCTTTCAACTTCTTCAATTCTTTTCCTCAGTAGCAAAGTACCTACAGATTTCTGAGTTTCGTGGTATACATTGGAAGATTATTAATTTTAGGTTCATAGAGCGCCAGCTGGCACCAAATGTAAATGCTGGCGCGAAATCTATCGAGAGATGCGAAAGGCAACTTTAGAGATTGATGCAGTTTCATGATAAGAACGGCTATTTTAATGAATCTAAAATAAATGCAGAAAACAAAGACAAATACAAAAATTAACAAACAAGAACGCATATAATTATTCCTAACGGAACATGTACAGAGATTCACTTCTATTTGCAGTTGATAAGATGCTACCGAATGAGCTTCTTGCATAGCAAATATAATTACTAACAGAAAAAGAATAACTGAGGCTTTGAACCAACATTCGCTCTGTAAGCCTTTTTTTTTTTCCCGCCCAAAGGGGCAATTTGCCCAGAAGGATTATTAATTTCGTTTGGGCATTTTGCGGTGATTCACTATAAACGTTGAATAACGTACGTTTCCCACCGAATATGGGCATCTGGAAGCCCAAATTTGGAATTTGTTTTATTATCTATTTCATATTTTGTAAAACTTTAACGAATTTTTGATTAACAAACTCTACGGTTTCAAAGTGAGCAATGGCAACACTGTACGAAACAACAACAACAAAAAACATTTTTATCTCCAGCGCGCGAGACTGTGTATCGGAAATTCTAAAGATATGCTCATTTTAAAATTCTTTTTCGATATTGCTGTTGAACTCAATTTTATGGTTTAAGACCATGATATTTAATAAATAAAGGTAACATACAAATCGTTAAAAAAACGCCCCTTTGTGCGTAATGTAAAATCTAAAAGCTTTCTTTTTTTTTTTTTTTTTTTTTTTTTTTTTTTTTTAAAAGACATGATCCTTTTTTTGCAGCACCATTTAGGTGCTTCTGCAATAGCAAAGTAATGGGAAGGAAAATGTAAATTACGTTATATTTAAAAATGACGCACATGTGAAAACTAAATTTATTGTAATAATTATTATTATTATTGATGCATCAATTCTTTCTGAACATCCAGGAGCAGAATAAAAAAATCATTTATCACTTTAAATTAAAGTATAATCATAAATATTGTCGACAGTAATATCGACTCCCACTGTAACGAGGGAGTAAACGAGTGCCTATAAAAGAAACAAAGTTACTCAAAAGGGGAAAATCTGACTCGTTGAATTTGATGCACGGTATCTGATCCATACGTTTCTTCTTACATGACATTATGTTCTGCTCGCATTCAGTTTGCAAGCACGAAATAATGCACTCTCGCACAACTTCTGGTTAACGCAGTTTCCCGAGTAAAAAACCAATAGCAGAACATACCAGCGCGTTAACCGGGAGCTATCATTTCGTGCTTGCAAACTGGATGTGAGCAGGATATAGTGTGATGTAGTAAGAAGAAAGAATTGGTAAGAAGTATATGGATCGGATATCGTGCCTCAAAAGAAACGAGTCAAATTTCCTCCACACTTTGTTTCCCTCTACAGTGCGTTGCAAGTAGCATCGATGATACTGTCGACAATATTTTTGACACCTTTTTTTTAAAAAAAATTTAAATGATATAAATTTTTTGTTGTTCTGCTACTGGATCTTCAGAAAAAATCGATGAATCAAAAATAATTATAATAACAATAAATTAAGCTTCCATAGGTGCATCGTTTTTATACATAAAGTAATTTACATTTTCCTTTCCATTCGCGTTGTTTCTGCCTCCTTTGATTTAGAATTCCCCAGGCACGGTCGTTTTCGTACATAAAATATCCTTTTACAGTTTACTTTGGAGATAAGATAATGCTGTTTATAAAAATTACCATGTCATTTAAATGTTAATTCTGCCCTTTTTAATGGATAAAATATATAAAATAATATCTTATAACATGATGGAAAATACAATTTCGTTTCCTTTATTTATTTATTTCAGTATGAATGATACCTTTGTCTTTAAATAATTTAATTGCGACACTCGTTATCCGGCAAATGCCATATCGCGTAATCCATATTGATTCTTTTTTTTTTTTTTTTAATAAATCAGTACTTAACTAAAAAGTAATTGAAAATTTCGAAGAAAATTACTGGGCCGATGTTCATTTTTTCCACTTATTCATAATGACGCCATTATATTATTACTCGTAAAACGGAAATAAACATTTGGCGAAATGAATTACCACTCCGGTAACCGAAAAATACTGGCGGATATAGTAGGTAACGCCAAATCACAATCGTTAAGGGCCCCGCGTTCCAAGGGGCTTCGAAATGCTTAATTAGTTTTTTAAAAATACCAAACATACCATGTGTCTTAAGATGAGGTGAGAAAGTTCAGGTAAGATGCGTTCCCTCTTCGTAAATCCGTCACAAGCCACATATATATTTAAATAATATAGTATGTCTAATCCAAAATCTTTTGAAGCATTGACGAAGGTATTTTCCGTGATTCAGAGAAATGTCTACCTTTTCGTTGAAACAAAGGTTCGCTTAAGCATGGTTTGCGTTTGCAAATCTAAACCAATCAATAAGGGTAACAGAACCTGCTATAAAAACTGAACCTATTATATAAAGATAACTGAACTTTATGAGAAGATAAGTGAAACAATATGTCATAATGTCATCAGCAGTTTCGTTGCTTTTGCATTTTCATTACAAACGTAGATGAGATCGGAATTTTTCTTGTCTTTTACTTTTTGAGTAATTTTCCAGTCTGTGTAGTTACAAGCAGAAAACATTCTGAAATTTTTTGTTTAACGGCTCTGTCCTTTTGTTATTAGTAGTAGTATTATTAGGCATCTATGACTTCAGCTTTTTTCTACCTTTACATAGTATGGTGAATAATAAACTACAGTATAAACCAAATCACTTCTTAAAATCCGTTTGCTCTTAGAACTGATGGCATGCCGTATTCAGTGGCACATCATTATTCTAAGAGCAGTTTATCACACATAACAACCTTCGAAATAAAAGTTATCTATAAATAGCGAAAGAATACACATGAGCATTATCATTAAAGGCCTTTCCCCTCTTCCCCAAACATGCCTTTTTTTACACAGGTCAGCGGATAATAAATTTAAATTCACCCTTTGCACACTATTTTCGTTTTTGCAAGGCCATGTACTTTTCAGTTTTTAAGA